GTGCATGGATGGAGGAGAGTAGAAGAGAGAGAGTAATATTTGAGAGAGAGTGATGAGCAGGGAGGGTGGAGGAAAAGAGAGGAGAATAAGAGAGAGAGTGAGGGAGAGAGAGAGAGAGGAGTAGAAAAGGAGAAAAAGAGAGTGAGAGATTAGAAGAGGAGAGAAGAGAGAAAGATTAAAAAAGAGAGAGAGAAGATAAAGAGGAAAGATGAGAGGTGAGAGAGAGAGAGGAGAAATAGAAGTGAGAAGAGTAGATGAGAGATAGGGAAAAGATGATAGAGAGAAGGGAGATAGAAGGTAGAGAGAGAGGAAGGGAGGGATAAGTAGAAGTGAGGAGAGAGAAGGAATGAGAAGAGGTGAGAGGAGGAGAGAGAGAGAAGAAGGAGGAGAGAGAGAGAGGAGAGAGGAGAGAGAGAGGAGATAAAGAAGAGAGAGAGAGAGAGGGAATAAGAGAGACGAGAAGAGAGAGAGAGGGAGATAGAGAGAGAGAGAGAGAGAGAAGGGAGATAAAGAGAGAGAGATGAGAGAGAGAGAGGGAGAAAGAGAGAGAGAGAGAAGAGAGAGAGGGAGTAGAGAGAGAGAGAGAGAGAGAAGAGAGAAAGAGAGAAGAGAGAGAAGAGAGAGGAATAGAAGAGAGAGAGAGAGAGAGAGAGAGGGAAGGAATAGAAAAGAGAGAGAGAGAGAGAGGGAGATAAAAGAGAGAGAGGGAGAGAGAGAGAGAGAGAGAGAAGAGAGCGATACAAGAGAGAGAGAGCGATACAGAGAGAGAGAGACAGATAGAGATAAAGAGAGAGAGAGAGAGATAAAGAGTGAGAGACGATACAGGACTATAGAGGAGATTGCTAGCAGTGACTATAAAATTGCAGAGTGACAAGGTAATGCAAATGTATTAAATTAACCCAATAACGCTGGGTAAAGATTTTGGCAAGTGGACATGATCGCGGGTTTATTGGCGCACATCGACAGTTTCCCCAGTTTGCATCTGGCTTGTTCAGTAGTTTGTGTTCAACTTTAGTTACCTAAAAGCTTGTATTTTGATCCAATAAAAAAAAAAATCCAACTTTTGAAGGTTTACTTTCAGTTATAATGCTATTGCCAAGAAGTTTTACCATAGAAATGATGCTGCTATTATCAGACAAAACAAGCTCCATCCAATGAGCCGACGAAGTTAGAAGTGTTGTGTTTGATGCCACTCACTACTTTGTCTACAACAGCCATGGCATGTATGTACATGCCACCTGGCAGAAAGTGGTTAATTGGATTTAACTTTTTTTCCCCCTTATATGACTCTTTTCCCTCTCTTTTCTCAGTGAGAATTTGGAAGTGGAAGGAAAGCCAGGCTACGACCCAGAAGTGACGCGGAGGCTGTTGGCTGCATCCTTGAAGCTAGCTGGGAAACACCTGGATGGAACCCCAAAGGAGATTTCTGATCTCATTTAATATGATGATAATGATTGTACTTCTGCACTGATTTTTTTCCCTATTGTTATTGTTATTTATTAACTAAGGTATCAATTTTTTTTTTTTTTTTTTTTTTTTGTAATTTCATATTGTAAAGGTTGATGTTACTATGTAGGTGTTGAAGAGCCTTCAATTTTTTGGCAAAGGTGTTTAGATTCATTCGCCCTTGACCATTTCGTAAGATTAGAAATTAAAAGTCAAGAAAGAGGTCTAACTTAAACTGTTAAACAAGTGCTTGAATTTACAATTGTGTGAAGTTATTAAAGATGAGTCACTAAATTGATGATTAAAAAAGATTTTGAATTCAAAGTCAAAGAAAAAGTCCAATTAGATAATTATGGAAATATAATCATAGTGTGGTATAACTGCAGGAGAAAAAGGTTATCTGTCTTATCTCTAGTAAAGCCACATCTCAATAATTCCCATATTCTCACACTGTGGAGTTAGTTTAAATATATCCAGAATGAGGATCATTGATATTGCATGCTGGGAAGTGCTAAATGTTGAGGGTGAGTGGGCCTACAACGGCAAGAGTGCTCCGAGAGATGGTTCAAAAATATGTGTTCATATAACCAATGAGTGCTGCTCATGTGAGATAGAGCTGCTTGAATCACGGTATCTAGTATGTGAGGCTGAAGAAACTGTGGTTTTTGGAGAGGCTGTCTCAGCATTTGACCGATCCCTGGAATTGGCCCTCTCAGTGATGAATGATGATGAAACAGCCCTTATCAATATCAAATTGCCAAGAAAATATGTGGATGATGAGGCAGACAATGACGATATCACTTTTACCTGCCAGTTAGGCCTGAAGATCATAGAAAATGCAAAGCTGATTTTTGAGCATAGCCCAGAGGAGAAAATGGCCAGGGCCATTCGGTATAAGAACTTAGGTGTTGGCTTGTACAAAGAAGGCAGTTTTTCCAAGCAGGTCTCAGCCTTTTTCATGTTCAGCCAGTCTGTAAAGTGGTTGGTAACAATAAATACAGAGGAAGCACAAAGCAGCCTGGCTGAGATTAAGGCGATCAAGATGCATTGTTACAACAACCTGGGGCTTTATCACTTACGCAATCATCAGTATCGACTGGCTGTGGCAGCCACAGTGACTGTCCTTAACGAAGACCCTGAAAACATCAAGGCCCTTTACAGGCGCTCTGTGGCAAACACTGAACTGCAAAACTATGAAAAGGCTGAAGAAGACATTCAGGCAGCTCTTTTGCTTGACCCCAACAACACCCTCATCAAGAAGCAGGTGGAAATTCTCAAGAAACGGCAAAAGATGCTTTCCCACAAGTATGCTGAGGCAATGAAAAAGTATTTTGCCTGAAAGGAGAGGCCAATTATGTCCACTAATCATAGAATTAAGAGCAAATTTTATCTTCATTTTTCAAAGGTACAACTCCAGCTTGCAAAAGGTTTGTTCAAATATAAAGGTTTAAGCCTAGCCAGTACAATAGACTGAATTAAAGTTTTTTTTTTTTATACCAGATAATTTACTTTTACCCTATAAATATGTGATCTTTCTCTTTAGCTTATCAAGTTAAATTTTATACAAAATTTCCCTTGTATAGTTCAAGGTGTCACAAGCATTATCATTATTATGATTTGTCTTAATCCTTTTGGGTGTATCAGGCAGTTGTCGGACCATTTAGTAAAAAGTGTTATTTCTCTGTACGGAAATAAAATTGGCATTTTGACCATTTATAAAAAAAAAATTCAAATAGCCCACGAATTTCATTTCTAAATATAAAAGATTATGACCTTACTATTACACCACAATATCCAGATAAGGATAAAAGTAAAAGTATACTCTGAGGTACATCACAAGATGTGAAAAGCTTGTTAAGGCTAAAATATTTGGAAGGGAAATAGATATGGCTAAGTATACTCTAGTGGAAAAGTTTTTTCTTGAATGTAGGGTAAAGCCAGTTTCCCGTTTACGCTCGACTCATTCAGTAATTCAAGCACAACATTAGGCACTCAGTAGCTTGTAGCTCTATTTCATAAGCAAAAGTTTTGACATATTTAAGGTTTCCCTTCACTTTAAGTGCTTGCATGTAATAGTTACACTAAATAAATAATGTCGCTACTATCAGAGAAATATGAACTCCATATGATGAGCTGATGGCACTGGGTGTCGTGAAGCAGTGCCACCTGTACTTTAGGCCCAGCTAAACCATGGCATTGTACATGATGCCAGCTGCAAGACAAAGGTTTGACCATTATTAGCACCAATAGGGTTAAACATTTGACCTAATATATAGCACTCATGTAAAGAAATATTAAACAATGTTCATTCTTATTCACCTTGTATTACGTCTTCCGAAAAGTGAAAAATTTGTGGTTAGACCTTTATTTTATTTTACTTTATGCTTTGAACTTAGTTTTCATTGCTGTATTTTTTAAATGTATTTTTTTATATTTCTATTTAAAAGTAAAAACTATTAACAAAAAATACTCTACTCTTTGTTGATTGACAAGTTAAAAGAATTGTCTGAAGGCCTGTCAACACAAGCAGGCATGATCAGTTGATAGTAACGGTGATAGAGCCAAGAAAATAAAGAGGAAATTACTTGTTTACCGAGTAGATTGTGCGCCTCTGATATCTCTCTTCGTGCCCAGCATTCATACCTGCTCGTGTAGACAGGCTTTAATACTTTACAGTTAAGGTTTAGATCTTTAATTTTTCTTCCATATTTGTCAATTATTTTATTAATTGAAGATCTTCTACCACAGCATCATCTATGACATCCATTATTGCTAAATCTTGAAATAAGCGCTAATGACCTTAGATGTTGACGTGGCAGAAAATTTTCAGTATATGAAAAGATAATACAATAAAAAGAAAGGTTAAGAAATAGACAATAATAACCTAGCTACTACTCCTCCTGTAAGGAATAGGTTTTGGGGGCATAAGTTTTGTTTCTACATTAGGCACAGGCCATTTGCTTCATCTGAAAACAGACATGTAATAGTCTATTTCTAACCAAATGGCTTGTGTACCAAGCAGTAGACATGCAAGTTTTCATATCACACGATTTTGTGGGCTTGGTGTAATTATTTTTTTTTTAATGATTTTCTTTTAAATTCATCCACAGAATTTTCACCTATATTGATAGTGTGAAAGTATTATATTGATGTGTGTAAAATAGAGGGGCAAATTGTGCATTTCCAAAAAGTGGTAGTGTAATATTAATTTTCTCTTCAGGCTCCAACCTCACAATTGAACGGTGCCTGATGGACCTTGCCTGTTCATCAGGCAAAGTGCCTCTTGTCATACACTAGGGGGTTCAGGTGTCTGGCAGGTCACCCATCCATTCCCAGAAGCGTACTGACTACCAGGCAGATGGTCTCATCTGGTGATTTTGCTCAACCATGGGCACAGGCACTTGGTTGGTTTATTTATTTCCTAAACACTGGGCCAGTGCCAGTCAGGCATTGCTCAATCAAATGAAAAGGCCTTAGAGGATTTGTTTTATAATGTTTATGGTTTTAACTTTTTATCTAGCTAGATGCGGAGGAGGAATATGTACTGAAAAGCTTGGGCTAAAGCACCCAACATATCTAGTATTTGGTTGTATGCTTTTGGTGCTACAAATGATTAGAACTCCATTTATTCCTAGAACACACAGAAAGATGGTGACCTGTAGGATCTGCATTTCTTTACTGAAAAATTTCTGCCGCTTCAGTATCTAAGGTCATTAAAAGGCCTATTCAGTATATAGCAGTAGGTTGAGGCTTGGGGTGAAACTCCGGGTAAGGGAGTTTTTTTGTTCATAAGGTTATGTATGTGATTCCTCAGAATGGTTAATGGTCAAGAAACAAATGTGCCAGAACTTCAAAGGTCATAACAGCAACTGTGAAATAGTATTTTGATGAAAAGTGTAAAAATGAGTAAACAATTAGGACAAATTATGTTGGATAATAAAAGTTGTAAAAGTGCTATAGGTTAGAAATCAATAGTGAAAAGGGAAAGAAGGAAGAGCAAAACTGAGGATGAAGGACACACAGAACTGACAAAATAGCCTTCATCCTTTCAACAGGGCTCACAGTTTAGAATGTGACCACAAGGGGATGAAAGGCGATGAAAAGGGGAGAAAAAAAACCATGCAAAATTAGTTCAAAGCAACGGTTGAGGTCCAAGGTAAGGGCAATCCCCTACATTGGCATTCAGTCTCCGTCTAAGCTCCAAACACCCAAGCAGCAAGGATCCTCCCATCCCCACAAATAAACTCGTTTCAAGCTGACATTTGATTTATGAAACCTTTTAGTAAACAAATTTTTTCATTTCAAACTTTTGATTTAGATTGATTTGGTTGAACTTTTTAAAACCAATACTATCTGATTATCATGAGGTTTTGTTAAGAGAAGGGGGCTGTTTTGTATCAATTTTATTAATGAAACATTTGTTATTCTTGAATATAATTCATCATGTTGTTTGTGTTGTTGTTACTTCATAATTTTGTTTATTTACCACAGATAGAGGTTGGTAATTTGTACTTTCTGTAAGAAACCTATTTTATGTTATATTTATTGCTGTTTGAGATGCTGTTCTAAGAAGTGTGCGCAACTTATTGCATATTTAAAAGCTTTAGATAAATGGAATTTATTAAGAAATTTTAGAAAATCATGAATGAATAGTTGCTTTTATAGAAGAAAAAATGGCTACCAGATGTAGAAATCTACCGCAGAAGCACTCCTCTAACTTAGCTAGCTTTAGTATAGTCATTTATTTGTTAGTTTAAATGTGGAATGTATTGTAGTTCCAGTAGTTTAGTTGAATGATCACCACGTGAGACTGCTATGAAGAAACCATAGTTCAGACCAAGAGCACTGCCTTGCTTCTGAGATCTCTCCTGCTTCCACACCTTAGTACAAAAAGAAAAGAGAAACATGTCCAATAAAATTATCATGAGATGTAAAATGACATTGAAAAGGCGTGTAAAGTCATGGATTCCCAAATAAAATGTGCTGGTGTAAACTAATAGTTATAAGCCTAATTAGTGTGATTATTATTATTTTATATAAGTATATTTCTCTACAAAACAAAAAAAAAATCTTAAAAAAAGACGATGACCTTAAAAAATACAGGGAAGGAGTGATTAGAAAATTTCAAATACAAGAATGAATTGCAGGACAGAAGATGTCCGTCCACACCATAATTTATACCACAAAGCATCTAGGGTACTGTGTGGATTTAGCATTTATTGTAGCTTATTGTGACTGAAAAGTTATCGGAAAAAATATATAAATATATATGCCATGTCAACAGTTGGTTATTTAGTGGTTTATGCCTTTTCATGTGTTGCTTCTGTGGGCCATGTGTTGTGTGTACTTGCTCTCGTGGTCATTTAAGGATTTTGAAGAGGTGATTTCAGCTGTAGGAAGAACCCAGTAACTGCTGAATTATAGATATGGATTTTGAAATAATGGTATTGGTAATGTGGATATCACATAGGATGTGTAGGGCTGAATATACCTTAATGGTTTTGAATGAAATTATAAGAGAAATTTGCAATGTTGCTCTTGGCCTGGCCAAATGGTAAAAAATGGAGAAAACTGCACATTTGATGGTTTGACTTTATAACCCTTGATTTATCAAAAGCAAAATTTTATCTGCAAATAAAACATGGATATAGTTTTTCTTTTTTAGCTGGTGATATTTAAAAAGATCTTATCTATATTTCTATAATACTTGTACTTCTCATTTTCGGATTGGAATATGATAAGGGTTACTTCAAAAGACAACACTTTTTAAAATCAAATGTATTGTGATGAGTATATAAACTTCATGGTTTTGTCAATGAATGTTTGTGCTACCATACAGCTGCCGTAAATATTTTTTTATCGTTAAGAGAGACACCAGTGAGGATGATGACACGAAAAACTTCAAAAATAAAGACTGACCATGACAGCAATTAACAGGAACAGCACTATTACACGCCATACTGACACACGAAGGAATACAGGCCCTCGCAACTGAAGTCATTGAGAGGCCCGTCCCACCACAGATTGATTGGTGAGTGTGGGGGCGCAGTACTCCTACCCCCCGCCGTTGTCAGGCTGCCAAGGGCCCCAGGCTGAGGCGGCGACGGGTCTTCCATCGGGCCAGACCCAGGTATCTTCCTGAGAGGGATTGCGGGTTGCGCCGACGCGAACGTGAATCACACCTGGGGAAGAAAGGGACAGTGTGGAAGATAAAGATTTGTATATAATTAAAAATCTAGTGTGTGAGTGGATTGGTCAGTTGCCAAGGCGAGAGGAGACGGAGAGAAAATCTGAAGTGAAATAGAAAGTATGAAAAATTGGAGGGGGGGGGGCGTTGGACATGAGACGTACGATTTTGTTACTAGCTACTTATGGCAGGTCTTGCAAGAGTAGAATCTTCAGGGGGTTGGTCTTATTACTGGATTATTGTTAACGATCTTTAAGGGGCACAGGGTGGAGGTGGGTCACAGGTGGAGGCATAGTTAGAATTTATTCCCTTAGTGTTGGCTTTTATGCATAGCTTTCCTGCTCGAGTCAGTTTAGTGGAAGCAAGTATTCCTCGAACAGAAAAGGAATTCTAGCATCCTTTCACGGGCAGCGAAAACATAGAATTTACTAACATAATTACGTTTTCTTTCCGGTTGCTTACTTGTCATTTTATGCTTCACGAACTCACATTGTTCCCTTGTTTTCGATATTCACTCTCCTCTAAGATACTAAAGAGGGGCTTTATGTATCCTGTACATTTTTTTTTTTTTTTTTTTTTTTTTTTTTTTACAAATATACATGATATCAAACATGGAAAAGTTATTCTTTAGCAGCAAAGCCAGCTACGCCACAATTTAAAGTAGTTTTGCAGTCGAGGAATATACCCTTTCCCCCGTTCCATGCCCTCTCCATTTCATTTTTCAGTTTTTTAACCTTCTATTTCTGTTCTTCCCTGCTTTCTACTATTCCTTTCTCCGTAATCCTCCCTTTCCTCTCCCCCTTGCTCCTTCCCTTCTCTTCTCTTACCTTCTTCCAGTTTGTCGTCCTCTTTCCTCAACCCTTTCAGTCTCCCCCCTCCAACCTTTGTTAAAATATGGTTACCGTCCCTAACCTCCCTATTGCTCTTTTTCCGAATCAACTCCCTCCCTCCCTCCCTCCGTCCGTCCCTAACCTCCCTATTCCTCTTTTTCCGAATCAACTCCCTCCCTCCCCCTTTCTCCCCACACCCACCCAGTTTAAGCAAGACGTAGTTCCTCAGCGCCATCAGGTTGGAGGGCGAGGCCAAGCCACCTCCTAGCAGGCCGCAGTACTCCATGGCTCCGGTGT